ATGCTTACATGTGTACCTATGTATGTGTGCTCTCTCTGTGTGGGAGTGTGCATGCATATGCTTACATGTGTATCTATGTATGTGTGTTCTCTCTGTGTGGGAGTGTGTATACATATGCTTACATGTATATCTATGTATGCGTGTTCTCTCTGTGTGGGAGTATGTGCACAAATGCTTACACGTGTACCTATGTATGTGTGCTCCTCTCTTCTACTAAAAAATTCTTTAAATAGATCAGAGAAGCTGGGATTTCTTTCGAAGTCCTTTCATCTTCAGGGTCAATTTCACCTTATCTCACACGAGCTTCTAGAATCTCATTTCTATGCTGAGCCATTCTGGGTTGAGCACAGTACAGCTGTGCTCTGGCCAGTCTGACTAGCTCCATAGAATCACAAGCTCTCCTAGCCTGAGCAGTGTTTCTCTGACACAGCAGAGAGCTGTGGAGTCTGCTAACTCCCTGTCGTTATATGGCTACGATGTCCTTGTGAGCAACAACGTTAAGGCTGGGCAACAATTGCAAGCAAGCCCAGTCTCCTCACCTTGGGTTTGTGTGGCTGTAATTATAATGCACTCCTTGAAACAGATACATAATCAAAGCCGATGATAGGCAGATAGACAATGATAGATAACTGTAGGCAGACAATGATAGATGATAGGTGGGTTGGTAGATAGATAATAACAGATATACATGTTATCTCTCTCTAGATGGTAGAAAGATGGTAGATAACAGGTAGATTAATGATGGACAGGTGACGGGTGGATGCTTTCTGGAGACTGCACTGTGTGTGATCCTCATTGATGCTTCTAGTCCAGTCCAGGTCTCCCGACACTACCGTGTGTCTATTCTTGTTGAGACATGAACACAGCAGAGTCACCATGTAACCCACTGCTGTTTCTTCCTTTTCAGGGGGAAGATGCTTTTTTTTCAAAAGTTCAGGGTCTCTCTTGGGATTGTCTCGGTTACTATGGACTTCAGTACACCCACAGAGGTCAAGCATGGGAACTGTAGGCAGGAGCTAGGATTCAAATTATAGCATATCACTGCAGCTTCCTGTGACAGTGAAGAAACCCCTGAAGAGAATAGTGCTATAAAGAAATCGGGTTTCCCGAGGTTCATGGTCTGGAGATTTAGGTCCAAGATTGGATGGCCCTACTGCTTAGGACTTCCTCTGGTGGGTCAGGTGGCAGTGGCAGGAAAACAATGAAAGCAATCGGTTCATATGTTTGCTAGATAGATGATAGACAGACAGACAGACAGACAGACAGACAGATAGAGACAGAATCTGGAGCTCCTCAACAGGACTGAGCTGTTTAGCCCACGCTCCAGGGATCACCCTAGCTCCAAACCTAGTGCTGGGTTACAGTCATGAGCAATTATGCTTGGTTTTTGCATGAATTTTGGAGATTCAAACTCAGGTCCTTGTTTTTGTGAAGCAAGCATCTTACCAACAGACCTGTCTCTTTAGGCTCTTTATGAAGCATTTTTCTTGTGGTATCCCATTTAGTCTTCATGAACAGTCTTAAGGGGATACCCTTGACCCAGTTGTTAATTTTTTTAAAGTTCTGATGAGTCTTTTTAGTCTAATTTTTGTGTGTGTGTGTTTTGCTTTATTTGTTTTTGTTTTTTGAAACAGGGTTTCACTAAGTGGCCTGGCATGGTGGCTTGAATAGGAATAGCCCTCATAGGCTCATGTATTTAAGAGCTTAGTCATTAGGGAGTTGTACTACTTGAGAAGAGTTAGGAGGTGTAACCTTTTTGGAGTACGTCAGACCTTGTTGGAGGAAGTGTGCCACTAGGGGTGGGCTTGGGGTTTCAAAAGTTCAAGCCAGGTTCAATCTCCTTCCTCTTCCTGCTCTCTGCCAATCTGGTTAGAGAACTCTCAGCTCCTTCTCCAGCACCATGTCTGCCCAAGCCTCTGTGCTACCCACAGTGCTGATCATGGACTAACCCTTTGAAACTATAAGCCAGCCCCAATTAAATGCTTTCTCTTAGAAGAGCTGCCATGGTCACGGTGTCTCTTCACAACAATAAAACACTGACTAAGACACTTAGACAGACCTAAGCCTCACTGCGTACAGCAGACTGGCCTTCAACTCCCAGAGAGCAGCCCAAACCCGCCTCCCGAGGCACTAGCCTTGAAGTCCCACACGACCACCCCTGGCTAGATGCTTTCATTTCATTTTTACTCTCCAGATTCCCAGTCAACCTAGAGAATAAATCTGAATTTTCCCTTGAGTAAAAACAGGAGCTCAGCCCCAAGCCCTGGTGTCCCTCCAGGTATTTATGAGACCCTGGTGAGGCTAGGAGGTGACAACTTTTAACAGCGATATAGCCTTTCTGCCACCTGTATGCTCAGCTTGTCTCTGCGCCCCCTCAGTAATGTCTTCCATCGACCCACGCCCAAGCCAACCATACAGTTGGAGGCTTTTTATCCAAGTCAAAGCCACGTGACAAGTCCACAAGTGAAGAGCATACACTTGTTTTCCAAAGGTCAAAGGTCAGCCTCACCAGCTGGGAAGGGGACGTAAATAAACAAGGTCTGCGCTCCACCTTGGCAACTGACAAAGGGAAGAAGGCGTTGCACATTCAGGATTGGGAGAACTGTGACCAAGAGAGACATTGACATGTGCCACAGATGAGAGGAGATGAATATTCAAATACAGCAAGCCAGCCTTGTAATCGACTTGTTAAACCCATAATTCAACCCTGAGGAGAATCTGCCGAGAGAATTATTGGCGTTTCACCAAATGTATTTTTATTTTGGTACAAAAAAAAAATCCATCATAGTGTTACTTTTATTACTAAAAAATGAGAAGCCACCCAAAATTCCAGTGATTGAAGGCTAACTGTTAAACCAACAAAAGAAATTTTAGTGCCTTGGGAACTAAGGCAGCCAAGCCGCTCAGCTGTGAGTAGAAAGGATGAAGATGTGATGATGGTGTAGATGGGCCACTCATAGTCTGGTCTGACATAAAACAGGGTGCTGGTAGAGCTACATGGTGGGGGATATGGTGATCTTACGGCCCTCTCCGCACCTTCCTCACCTGATGTTCTACAACAACTGAATTCCATTTAGTAGGAATACCACACACACACACACACACACACACACACACACACACACCAGGTAAGGGTGTTCTCCACTCTGTTGTGCTTTCCATTGTACAACAGCCCTCAAGGGCACACTGGCTTCTTCTTTACCAGCTCTGTTCCCATCTAGAAATTGGTCAACCTGGAGTCCTCTGTGATGGGCCTAAGGTTCTTAGACTGTGGTCTCTGGAGTCATCTGATGAGGCTGTGGCTCCACCTCAAGCTTCACTGTGTGAGCACAAAGTGAGCCAGGATTTCATAGGTCACCACACAGTCCCTGAGCAGTAGGGGCCCATGTTACATCCCTCCATCTCACTGAAACTGAGTATGGGAAAGAGCTCCTCTGAGATCATACCTGCAGGGTCTGGTGCTGGGCTTTGGCTTGTGTGACATACAATTCCTTTTTGTTGCTGTGTGCTTTTTTGAGACAGGGTCTTGCTATGAAGCTTTGACTGGCCTGGAACTCATCATGTAGCCCAGGCTGGCCTAGGACTTGTGATCTTCCCGCCTTTGCCTCCAGATTGCTGAGGTTACACCAATTTTATTTATCATCACATCAATATGACTGGCTGAGATATGTAATTGCTTTGTATTGTTAGCTTCCCTTTCTACCAGGCCTAGGCATGACCCTTGACTTTCACGGCCACTTTACAAAGTCTGCACCCTTGATGCCTTTTCCATAAGGAGGTGGGTGTCCAGAGGGGTGTTGGACAGGATGAGCCCCTGGGAGACCTGGACAGACCCTGTGAGCCAGTCTCAGGGAACCAGAACTGGGCCAGCTAGAGGAGCTCTTTTCTCTCTAGGACTGCAAAGAAAAAAGGCAGAGATCTCTGGAGCAAAGAGGTAACCTGAGGCAGGACCCAAGCCAGAGGAAAATAAAATTTAAGGAAGTAAGAAACTGAACATATGGGGTATTTATGGGGAGCTTTGATCCCGCTCAGCCTGTATTAAGTTCTTCTCAATGATTTGAGGTAGCCCCACCGCTCTCACACACATTTCTCTCTCTCTCCCACCACCTCTCTCTAACACACACACACACACACACACACACACACACACACACACACGCACGCACACATGCATATACAGTGAGTTTCTTTGAATCAACTACGTGCTACCAAAAGCTTCTATCAACTTGGGTAGATTAGGCCCATGTCACAGTTGAGGAAACTGAGGCCAGCCAGGAGAAGTGAAGAGTGGAGAGCCAGGCGCTATCAACTCTTTCTGGTCTCACGATTTTCTGCCAAGACTGCTAGGAGTCAGACTCTTCAGCTACTGGACTTCTCAGTGGCTCAACTCTTGCCCTGCTCTCCTGGCAAGGAGTTCAGAAGTATCTAGTCATATAACTGACACACCCTGTTCCCGTCTGTGAGACATAGTCACATAGTCTGTCCAGGTGGGAGCCCCTTACCTGTATCAGAGGCACAGGTGAGACCCAGGATCCCCCACAGGCTGGAGAGAAGGGAAACGGAAGCAGATGGACACGGTGCACCCATCCCTGTGCCCACCATGCTCCTGTCCCCACCATGCTCCTGTCCCACCTGGCCACATTGCGGCAACTGGCTCACCTGTAAATCAGTACCTCGTCGTCAGAGCAGTTGTACTGCAGCTGATACATCTTCACTCGGGGAGCTGACTTGCTGACGGACCACTTGACCAAGGCAGATGTGGTGGTCACATCCGACACCAGAACAGCCCTCTCCTGGGTGCTTTTGGGAGGCTCCCCACCCCCACTGCCTCCCCCTCCCCGGCTGGTCTTGCTGGAACCTGTGATATCTGAAAGGCGAGACTTGGGGGGTGCCATCCGGCCAGTGCTGTTGCTGAGGTGTGGGAGTTGGACAATGGAGACCTCCACTGTGGCCGTGGCTTCTCCTGCAGCATTAGCTGCAATGCAAGTGAAGGCTCCACTGTCCTGAGAGGTGGTAATAAGAATGTCCAGGGTGCCGTTGTCATATACTGCAGTCCTGGAGGAGTTTCCCACAAGGCGGTCGTCAGGGGCCACCCAGTGGATCAAGGGACTAGGGTCCCCGATGGCCTTGCACTTGAGAGTGGCTGCCTGGCCCTCCAGAACCAGAAGCTTGTGTGTGTGTTGTGTGATGAGAGGTGGCTCACATACAAACTCCTCCTCACGAATATGCCAAAAATAGCGCCCCTTGAGGCCTCCAGGGGAACCACAGGTCTCCAGGTCGTCATCCCTCTCCAGCCTCCGCAGCCAGAGAAGCTCACAATTGCAGTGCAGTGGGTTTCCCCCAAAACTAAAGGACAGGGGTGGGGCAAAGGGCGTGGCAGTGAGCAAGGAGGCCTGGGAGCGAGCAAAGATGGGATCCGGGGGCAGCTTCTGCAGCCGATTGGATGTGAGGTCCAGGCGGGCCAGTTTCTGAAGGTCTGCAAAGGTACCCTCGGCAATGTGGTCCAACAGATTGTGGTCCAGGCTCAGCTGGTGGAGGTTGACCATGCGCCTTACAGAATCCCACGGCAGCCCGTGGAGGTTGTTGTAGGATAGGTCCAGATCTTCTAACGTCAGCAGGAAATCCTCAAAGGCATCGTCAGCGATGCCGCCCAGCTGGTTATTGTTCACGATGAGGTGCTGCAGGTTGACCAGGCCCCGGAGTGTGTCCTCCCCAAGGCTGGGCAGCCGGTTGCTGTCAAGGTGCAAGGATCGGAGACTCTCGAGGTCCAGGAAGGAGAAGGGCTGGATGTGGCTAATGGTGTTTCTAGACAAGGTCAGATCCACCAATCCTGTCATATTGGCAAAGTCCTGGCGGCCAATGTGGATGATGAAATTGCCACCCAGGCGCAGCTCCACCGTCCTCCGGTCAATGTCAGGGGGCACAAAGAGGAGCCCCTTGGAGGGACACAGGGTCCCCAGTGACTCAGACAGGTTCTGGCAGACACAGTACTTGGGGCAGGCATCGACAACAGCAAACGCCATGCCAAAAGCCAGCAGCCCACCAAGCAGAGTCTCCATGGTCTGGTCACTCAGCCTCGGCACCTAGGAGGGACACAGCGTCAAGGTCAGCAGATGATTTCCCTTACCAAGAACCTCCTGCCCCCAATGCCACGCGGTCTCAGGGAACAGCAAAGACAGGCTGGGCCCAGGCAAACACTCATCCTTCTTCATTTAACTCTTCTAATGCACGTCTACTTTATCTTTTTCACCTTAGCTGCTATCATCTCCTAACGACTTGATTCACTGTCTTTGTGTTTACGGATTGTTTCCTATATAACCCATGCCACATGAGTTCCATGATAGCAGACCTTTCATCTGTTTTATGAACTGCCTTGTCCCAAATACCTTACACAGTGCCCAGACACTTGGAACACCCTATATCCTCAGCTGGAATTTGAGTTGGTGGGTGGACAGATTAACAGTTGTTAGATTTTAGCTGGGTAAGCAAGTAGTCAGATGGAGGAAAGATAGATGGATGGGTAAGTGGCTGAATGAATAGATTTGGTAGATATGTCTGTAGATGAAAAAACGGGTGAGTGGATGGAGGGAAGGATGGATGGGTAGATGCGTAGGAGGGTGGATGGATGGGTGGCCAGGTGGATGGATGGATAGGTAGATGGATAGCTGGGAAGGTGGATAGATAGATGATTGGGCAGATGGATAGGTGGGTGGATGGGTTAGTGGATGAGTGAGTGGATAGATGGAGAGATGGATGGCTAGATGGGTAGATGGGAAGGTGAGTGTATGAGTAGGTGGTTAGGTAGGTGGGAGAATGTAAGGATGGACAGGTAGATGGGTAGGAGGGTGGATGGATGGATGGCCAGGTGGATAGATAGGTGGGTGGGCAGATGGATAGATGGGTGGATAGGTTAGTGGGTGAGTGAGTGGATAGATGGAGAAATGGATGGGTAGATAAGAAGGTGTGAGTAGGTGGTTAGGTAGATGGGAGGATGTAAGGATGGATAGGTAGATGGATGATGGGTTGAATGGGAAGATATACAGATGGATTCATGGATGTGTGGGTGGAGAAATGAATGGCTAATACCTTATCAGTGGTTCAACCAATAACATTTGTGCTTGAAGTACATGCTGCAGTTGTCTTGTGAAGAACAGTGTTAGTTTGTTCAGGGAAAGCAAGGATGAAAGTGACTAGTGTTCCTCAGGAGAAGGAAGTAGCCAAGAAGAAAACAGACCCTGAGAGCAGCCAGGGTTGGTGCGGAATTGGCTCTGATGGTTCTTCAATGAGGACAAATCACTCAGCTGCTAGCTCTGGAGCTCAGGAAAGGGAAGATGGAAAAGGAATGCGCTTTTGAGAGCTTGACTGGTGCTAGTCCGCCCCCTGGACTCTGCCACCCATACTGTTCCATGGGCTTCAGAGGCACCTATTACAAGCGAATGACTGCCTTTAAGTGAGGAGAAAGCTTCCTCACCACCTACTAGAATCACTGTTCAAAAGTCACCTTCTCTTTGAGGCCTCTCCGATATCCCATTCCCATGACACCCTCTCTCTCTCACACACACACACACATACACACGCACACTCCTGCACACACATGCACTCTTCCTCTCTGGGCATACTCTCTCATCTCAGGGTGCTCAGAGCCTTGCTCATTGTCCATCATTTAGTAGGTAGTTTTCTTGAATAGACATGTAGGGTAGGAAAAAGGAATTTTCTGGTGGTTTTGCCCCTCCCAATTCTACAGTTTTCACCCTATCCCATGCAGTAACAATTATGTGCTTTTCTGTGTAGTTCTAAAGCCAAGTCATTGGGTTGGACTGTGAGCGACCCCTGTGCGCTGGTTGTAGTTTCCTGAAGACCAGCATTTCTCAAATTGGCTTCTCCGAGTGCTAATTAGGTTCCACAAAAGTGACTTCAGAGGCCAATAAGCCAGGATGTACTGCCCACTGGCTCACCCTAGTGAACGTTCTGTGCATGTTAACACATTCAGAAGAACTGGGATGTTCTGCAGTGGGGAAGATGCTGAGTTAAAGGTTGATTTCATCCTGCTTAAGGGTTTTTTCTGTTTTGTTTGCTTTGTGCATATTCGCATGTGTTCAGGCACCCGCGTGTGTGTGTGTGTGTGTGTGTGTGTGTGTGCGCGTATGTGTGTGTAAGCACTCCTGTGTGTGTGTTTGTAGGCACCGTGTACATGTATGCAGGCACTCGTGTGTTCAAGTTCCTATGTATGTGTGTGTTCGGGCACGTGTGTATGTATGTGTAGGCACTCATGTGTGTGAAAGCACCATGTGTTTGTTCAGGCACCCATGTATGTGTGTTCAGGCACCCGTGTATGTGTGTTCAGATGTGTGTGTGTGTGTGTGTGTGTGTGTGTGTGTGTGTGAAGGCACCATGTGCTATATGTTCAGGCATCCGTGGTCTCATGTGGAGGCTAGAGGTTGACAATGAGTGTCCTGCTCAATTGCTCTCCACCTTGTTTTTCATAACAGTGTCTCCCACTGGAGCCGGAGCTTCCTGTCGGGCTAGCCACTGAGCTTCATCTTCATCAGTGTCCACCTCCCAGAGCTGGGAGCGTAAGAACACATTTGCCTGGACTTCACATGGGGGCTGGGGGTCTAAATGCCGTCCTTCTTGTTTATATAGCAAGCACTTTACCAATGACTTTGGGAGTCATTGCCCAAGTCCTGTTTTTGTTTTTGAACAAGTTTTTAATATTTAAAGGAAATAGGTCTTGAGTACCACAGATACAGAAGCTCCCAGCAGGTGGTTTACAGATACACTGATGGTTTGAATCAGATGTCCCCCAGTCCCCCATAGTCTTAGGCATTTGAACACTTAGTCCCCAATTGATGGGGTCGTTTGAGAGGCATAGGAGGTAGGGCCTTGTTGGAAGAAGTATGTCACTGGAGGCAGGGTTGAGTTTAAAGTGTCACATCATTTGGAACTGACTGCTTGCTTTGTGCTTATGGTTCAAGACATGAGCCCTCGGCTTCCGCTCCTGTGGCCAAGCTTTCACCCTGCCATCAGAGATTCCCAACCCTCAGAATATACGCTCAAATAAACTCTTTCTTCTATGTGTTGCCTTACTCATGGTGATTTCTCATAGCAACAGAGACGTGACTAATGCATACTATCTACACATACCATATATGTTCTAACCATATGTTTGGTTATGCAGATTTCACCTCTAATGCTGGTGCCTGTTAAGACAAATCCTTCTGAGACCCTTAAGAACCAGCAGCTTTCCCACATTTCACCTGTAGATGGCGCTGTGCTGAGACCAGCTCTGTCCAACAGAAACTCAGTAAGGAGTCAAATGCAATTTTAGACTTTCCAGTGATAATCTCTTCTTTAAAATTAGAGAAAGTTCATTTTAGGAGCATACTACATTGCAACCCCACTATCATCTCAGTGTCATCGTTGTGATTATCGATGAGACGTTCTTTATTTGTATAAAGACTGAAATCTGGTGTGTATTTCACACTTACCAGTACGTTCCCAAATGTCCTCCTCCATATTAGGGTTCCCTTAATGATCAAGCGTGTGAACTACTGCTGTCTGCTGTCTGTTTTTGTAAATAAAATTGTATTAGCACATGGCCCACTCATTCCTTTGCGTCTTGCTTGGACCATCTTCCTTAGCTGTGTGGCAGAGGTGAGGGACAGAAGCAAAGAGCACTGGCCCAGCAGAAGCCATATTTGCTGGTCCCTCCGGAAGTTTCCCAGAGGACTTCACATCTTTTCACCGTCTTCACTGCGAGCGTCCCTGTTGAATCTGCCACAGGTCTACCTCCTTACAGGGCTGCTCCAAGGCTCCTCCTCAGGAGCAGCTGCAGCCCAGCCACTACCTATTACCACCAAACTCCCTGCAGAGGCAGAGCAGTCACCCTGCCCCAGATCCCACCTGGGATCTACATCTCTGGCTGCCAATCACCGGAGGACTCCACCTGTTACCTTTCTGAGTGTTCAGAGGAGTTCTTCCAGGTCCACACTTGGCAAGGCCTAGTCAAAGATGCAGGTAATCTTCACGATCAGCCTTTGTCAGGAACTCTGGAGCCAGTCCCAAGGCTGTCTACCTACTGACTGCTCATACACCATCTTCTGCTTGGATCTCCAGATCCCTCTCAGTCAGCCCTGTCAGTTCTATGCTGGGAGGATGAGTCTGCAGCCTACCTCAGTGGAGCATGGTCAGCGGTCTGCCTATATAGCTTCTGGGTCCCTTCATCCTTACTTTTTTCACCTGTTTCTGCCACGCAGCTGAGATGGTAAAGGAAGCAAGGAAGGTGGGCTATGCATCCGGAAGCCAGAAAAAAAAACAATCAATCCTTCAAACAGTTTCATCGTACAGAATGATGCTAAGCAAACTGCAATTTAAAAAAATAAGTTTGTTGAAGATTAGCAAATGTCTAATGAATTCAAATGGGTGACATAATAGAACTGGGTAAATATATTTTAAGTAATCAGCACGGAAGATTACTGACAGACAAGTGACTATTGAATCTTAATTAAAATTGTATTCTGAGAATTGTCACTTAGCCCATTACTCCAGCAGCCAAACAAAAGGCTGCTTCACCTCCAGTTTTGGAGAGGGGGAGTTTTAAGGAAATGGGTAAATTTGCCTGATCCAGGCGGAGGAGATGGGGGAGGTGCTTCCTCTTTGAATTAGGAATCTGAACAAGGGCTGGGAGAAGAGACTGGCCAGGCCTCCTTCAAGCTTTTCTGAGTGGTGTGGGTGACAGAGGGGACTAGAGCTAGGAGAGCAGGGCTTGCCTGGGGAGAGAGAGCCATGAGAGCCATGAAGAGCGGATGGGCAGGTTTCGGTAGTGCAGGCAGGCAGTGCCAACAGTGGCACACTGAGAGCAGAAGCTATGGAAGGGACACTGCTATCAAACGTCACAATCAGCCCTTGGAGGAGTCAGCGCCTGACAGAGAAGGTGGTGCTGTCCATGAGGACAGACAAGAGGCAGCTTTGGAGGAGAGGGCTGCGGTGGAGAGGCGGAACTGAACTGACTGAACTGAGGGAGTACAGCAAGATCTTTGAGCACACAGTGCCTTAAAGTTAGCTTAGACTTGGGTGCTCATCC